ATATCTAATTTTAGGTTGGGTGCACCAGTGCACCTATTCCCAAAATAGAATTTCGAGCCCTGTATATGAATGTATTTCAGTAAGAATTAACAGAGCAGACCATATGCGAAGGTAAACATTATGCATTTGCTTTGCTTAATTTCTTCCCCAGTTTCCCCTGTCACCGTGCCGTCCTGGCATCCTGCAGTCCGTACTTCCGTGCCATGTTCACCAGCAGCTACGCCGATGCCAGACAGGACAGGATCACCATCTGGGATGTCAGTGAGGTTGCCATGGCAACCATTTTGGACTATGCCTACACCGGTTGCCTGGAGACAGAGCCGGACCAGGTGCAGGCCGTGATGTCTGCAGCCGGACTATTCCAGGTAAGCCTGCCGTGATGTCTGCAGCCGGACTACTCCAGGTAAGCCTGCCGTGATGTCTGCAGCCGGACTACTCCAGGTAAGCCTGCCGTGATGTCTGCAGCCGGACTACTCCAGGTAAGCCTGCCGTGATGTCTGCAGCCACCACACAAGAACTCCTTTACATACATACAGTGCCAATTCATACATTCCGCAAAAGGCCATGTACATACATTTTGTAATTAAGTCTTTATTTGCATAATTTGCATTTAATCATGTAACATCACATCTCTTTCTCAGTTACCCACATACTAAGAATGATGAAATTACGTTGTTCCTATCTGGACTTATTGCCTCCGGGGGAGGATATATCCTTCCGCGGAAGGGTTTTGTGGGAGATGTAGATTTTCACGTTCGCATCCGTTTCTCGCGTTTGGGTGGACGGATTCTTTTGGGACTCGGTATATGTTTTGCTATTGGGCTGTTCTTTTGTTTTTATTGTATATGTGTTTTCGGGCGGGGAAAATGGTGCCTTTTGATGGCCCCAAAACACCCCTTTGAGCGTAAAAATGGTTTCAACATTTGACCTTTGGTGTATTTAAAGTATTGCAAGTCTTGTCCACTTGCATGACCTTTCGCACAGAGGGGTGTCCAGTATCGATACATTCTTTGTTTAAAAATATGCACCAAAACGCTGTTTTCCAGGGCTGTGTAGCCAGATTCAGTGAAAATATGCACAATTCAAATAACCTTTGGTGAAAATATATATTTCTTTGCGGATTTATGGTGCTTTTTTTTTACTTGGATCAAACCCGGAAGTGTCAATATGGGGGCACGGTGTCTGGTAAAGGTAGCGAGTCACAAGTATGCAAATGAGTATTATGCAAACTTTTGCATACGTGCCTATATTTATATTAACTACTGTAACAACTTCTTGTAAACCCTTGTATATTTGACGTACTATAAGCAGCAAGCTTCTGTATGTGACATTTCGGAACCCAGTCACTATATTTACGATCAAAATATTTGTGGTTTTAACGTCTGATTTAACGGTTCCGGTTGTCATTCTGAGTTTCTTTACGAGTTCCTTGCGGCAGATTAAATAGAATTTCATAAGTTCATGGGTACAATAAGCTGCAGATGAAAATGTTGACATGTGTTAACACAACCTGGAACGCTAAATCTAACACATAAAATTTAACACCATCAACTATTCATAACAAACAACATATAAGTATATACAATAAAAAGCCCGGAGGTATAAAATCTCAGATTTTACTTGTTGGTTTTAAAAGGTTTGACAGAAAATGCCCTGCAGTTCCTGAACAAGCTGCTAGGGGGTGGCAAACCCACACCACTTACCTGGACAGGATAAGCTATCTCAGTATCTGTCACCAAAAAGTCAAGCCCATAGCATGTTCAGGACAAAAGATACAAAAACCAGAATTTCTGCTGCAGTACCAAGGTCAGCCACCACTAGGCCCATATTTGACCATGACATTTGCCTTCCTAACATCTACCAACATACCAAATATCATTACAATCCATTAAGGCGTTCTTAAGTTATGCTGACTACAAAAATGCTGTGCAGACACACACACACAAAACTGATTGGTGCAGAATGGTCTGTAAGTGTAACCATGTTTATTGCCTGTAGGTGGGTTTCGTATGCCATCAGGCAGCAGAGTACATGAAGGAGCATCTGGATGTGTCCAACTGTGCTGATGTCCTGATGTATGCTGACATGCTGGGGGACTCGGGCCTGGTGGTGGACAGCGAGAGATACATCGCATCCAGGTTAGACTTAATAGCTGTTACCTACATTTTGCAATAAAGCCTAGGAAAAAAAGTAGTGTGTTTCCTGTTTCGGTCCTGAAAAAATCAGGGTCGGTAGGTAGGCCAATGACCTGATTTGTTGACGTCTGTCACCATGGTAACTGGTGTTGGGTTACATAATGTTGCAATTTTATAGTAGGAGGGATTTATACTCCTGTCTGACCATATATATGAATGTATTAGAGTAAGAGTTAACACAGCAGACCTTATGCCAGGGTAAACATTACCTTTCTAGTTGATTGTTTTTTTTTTCTAAACAGCAATAACTTCAGGAAGAGAATGCATTTCGTGTGCTTTAACATGACTAAACCTATTGCTTGTAAACATGTAACTTTCCCAGGTTCAACCAGGCGGTGCTACAACCCTCCTTTCTCCAGTTGTCTCTGCCCCAACTCCAGTCACTGCTAGAAAGTGACGATCTCATCACCCAATCAGAAGACGACGTTGTCCAAGCCGCTCTAAGATGGATCGATTTTAACCAAGCAGAGCGCTTGCAGCACCTCCCTGCACTTTGCAAAACATTGCGCCACCCCTTCATCAGCTCAAAACAGCGTGAAGAAATCGAGGGTAAGTGTCTGTCATCACCAGACAGTACGTTAGTCTACAGCGAAAGCACAACCCAACGGCTGGGGCAGAAGCGAACCGAAATGCAGATCATCCTAGTGTGTTGTTTCGACGGCACTGATGAACACATGTATGTTCCTTGCTACAACCCCGCCACGGGCGCAGCGTACGCTATTGATCTACCTGAAGACATACCCTGGGATTACTCTATGCTGTCTATGGCCGCCACCCCTGATGGTGACCTGTACCTGGCAACAGACATTGATACCAGTGATCAGGAATCGAGGACCAACAGGGAGGGGAAATTCTACCTGTACAACCACCTGCTGGCCACCTGGGAGCCAAAATGTGAGATGATTGCGAAGACGGCCAGGTAGGTGTTTTTTCGTCAAGCTGCTGCTTTCAAAAGTGTTGAAATCCTTCAGAAGCAACATTATTTTTTAAAATTAAGCAGATACTTCGGTCAGTTCGGTGGCTAAGGACACTAGCTCCTCAGGCCAATGGATACTGTCTTGATCTGTTTGGAGATTACATAATTCCAACAGATTGTATAATCTACTGGGAGCCACACCTCAAGCATGTTTAAGACCCAACCACAGTTATTGAATAGGATAGAGGACCTTCCTGGTGTGAGTGATTCAAACCTTACAACTACAGTCTGGTCTTATGCAGCCTGTATTTCCTGTGCAGATCTAACATGCTTTGCAGGAACTCCAATAGTATGGTGAGAAACATGAAAAGGGATAGTTCATTTGTTGGTACATTTTCTGTCATCTTTGTTGCACAGGTATAACCTCGTGTTCCTTGATGGGTACATCTATGCTATTGGTGGTGATAATGAGAAAGGAATGGCAGAGAGGTACGACCCCAGCCGTGACGAGTGGACGTCCATACCGCCCTTCCCTCACCGGTACCCAAGGTACCCGCAACTCTGCACTGTGGCTCTCGGTGACAGCATCTACGTCATAAGAAAGGAAGGCTGCAGCAGGTTCAGTACCACAGAGAACAGGTGGGACAAGATCGCAGACATGGTCGAACAGCCAAAGTGTCCAATGGCCATCACGTATCAGGGTAGCATCTACTGTGTGAAGGGAGACTCAGAAGACATGTTACCGACTTATGTAGAGGTGTACAACCCTGCGGATGGCGTGTGGAAGCGCACTGGGAATGGCAAGTCCTTTGTCTACAACAAGGGGATACTGACAACACACGAAGGGACTCTCGAAGCAACCCTGATGACGCATGGCGAGACTCTGTACCTACTCACTGCACACAGTGGCATTTGGGAGGAAAATAATGTACGGTACCGGTCCAATTGCAAGTTATATGTCTACAAATACCGGCCAGAGACTGACTCGTGGGCGTCCGTTGGAAAGGCAGCCAAGCGCAGGCTGGTTCCACCCAAATGTTGCCATGACTTTTTTTTTACAGATTTCGTGGTGGCAAGGATGTTCCCAAGCTGGCTGGGTTACTTACAACAGTGAACTTGAGGAGGAGTAGATCTGATGAAGAAAGACTCAGAATGGCGGGGGGGGGGTATGACGAGCACTCGCGAAGACGTTTCTGAAACTGATTGAGAGTCACCGATCTCGGAATGCGTTAGGTTTAAAGAATTTCCTTATCAAATTAATATGTGTACGCATCTAAAAGCACAGGTGATACTGTTAAATGGAGGAATAAAGACATGTTGGTTGTGATATCGTCTTGTCGTCTTATTAACTCTTGTTTAACAAGGTTTATAATCTCAAAAGTTGAACATGTAGGAATCTTGTTTTCAGGTCTGTCTCGTGTGTTGTCTTTTACCTTTGACCCTTTTGTTCACTTCAGACTCGACGTTCGTCATATGACCATACCATTCTATGAAACATTACTCGGGACCTTAGTCACTCGGGCATTGTGTACATGTAGATGTCAACACAATATAGCGATATTTTTCTTCAGCATTCAGAATTAAGTTAGTATGTAGATGGTAAAAAAAAAACAAATCGAAGAAACAAAAGGTGGTTTTAAAACCGAGCATCTCTCAAAGATCCACTTCTGTATTTTCGACGGATCCGCAGAGCACTTCCGGCAGCAGCAGTGCCTTCTGGGTAATCTGAGAAAACCCCGGGGGAGATTCAAACTCAACGGTCACTTTCATTGACCGCTTGCTTGAGTGTGCGTCCCTTTCTATCGTCCCACTGCTTGTCCATATATATACGCTTCATATAAGTTCAGCAACCACGGCATTGATTGTCAACGTCTAGGATACTGACCGTACACCGACTGGACGCTATGCGCTATCAGTGGCCGAGACAAGGACGAGAGACGTACCGGGGACATCGCCCGGCGAGGGCACGAAGCCGCCAGGCATGTCATGACACGTTGCAGACTCGCCTGACGAACAGTTCAACTGGACCATAAACCGACTGCATAAAACTGTTGACGGCATATATAGAAGTGAGTAAACCCTTCGAAACTCTTTTAATTTAAGTATAAAGGTTTCAGGTCATTTCTGACGAAAGTTTAGAGCAACTCAACTTCGCAACTCACATCTGTAACCAATTGAAGTTCTGCCCTTTATCTGACCTGTTGTTCCCATATGTAAAAGCGCCGGCCTTCTCACGGGGGGTATTTCACATGTCAATGCTGGCTCGCATAACATTATGCTGCTGGTATCCGGGCCGCTGGGGAGATTGTTATCCATTCTGGCCGAAATGCCATTTTTACACTGTACTTGTTTTCTGTTGTGTTTTTTCGTAGGTCAGAAGCGACTGATTGAACGTGGGGTAAGACTCTTCAGCGCAGACTTCTACAAAGACCATCCTGATGTGGGACTAGGAGACAGATGATGGCTGTAACAACACATGGATTGTGAAACGACCATCCTGGCGAAGCAAGACGTGATAGTTCTAGTTCTACCTGTTTAGTATTGCAAATATTTATTTTACATATGTTACATGTTTTTGTATAGTTCTTTCTTTTTTGTCGCTTTACACAGTATGTGTGGAGTTTTAATAAAGGCTTTCAGGCTAAATCTATTCATTCGTTTATTCCTTCATTTATCTAATTTAACTTGCTTGTTGGATCTGCACGTATACATATCAAACACGGGCGTATCCAGGGGAGAATGCCGTAAGGATTGGGGAAGATCCGAGGTACGGATAATAAAAATCCAAACGCCGGCTCTGTTTGCATCCGAGGCAAATGCAGAGAATTGTGTATGGAAATCCGATAGGGATACGGGAAAATCACAAGTTGTATCTGTACGCATCCGTGTAAAATACCGACGTCTGCACGTGGGGATCTATCGCATATCCGGAAAAATCCCTATTAAAAAAAAATCCGCATCCGTAGAAAATCCCGCTTTTTGCATTCTTTGGGATCCGGACAGTCCAGGTTACTCCAGGTGTACAAAAAATACTCTAAAGAAACAAATTGGAATCCGTGGAAAGTCCAGCTTTGGAATCCTTTGGAATCCGGACAGTCCAGGTATACAAAAAAATCCCTCAAGAAACAAATTGGTATCCGTGGAAAATCCCATTTTGGAATATTTAGGGATCCAAACGTTCCGGATCCCTAAAAATGCAAATTTTGGATATTTTACGGATCCTACCCATATCCGTTTGCATCCGCTTGTATCTGCTAAAAATGCGTAAATATCCCTGTGCGCATATGGCTGCATTCGAGGCCTTTTCGCCCAGTGCGACCACAATGAGAGCCTTTTGCCTCCGCCACGTTGAAGCAGTGCAGCAGCGCCCTGGTCCTCAGGTTGGTGTTGAGGAACGCCATCTTCACCCCCAACTTGGCCAGTCCTAGGAAGGTCCAGATGAAGGCCGGCTCGTTGAAGATCAACATGGCGACGGTGTCCCCGCACCTGTACCCCTCCCCCCGGAAGTACGTTGGCCACCTTGTTGGACATGACGTCCATGTCCTTGTAGGTGTAGACTTCATTCTCAAACAGGAGGAAGGGCTTGTCGGGCTGGAGCTGCACCTGGTGCAGGAAGCGGTCCACGATGGTGGTCGGAGGTTCGACGGAGAGATACTTGGATATCCGTTTGGAGGTGCGATTTGATATCCATAGGTAGTGCAGGATTTGTGCCTACAGACAAAACACTTCTTTCCTTTCTTCCTCCACTTTTTATTTCTTACTCCTTGAAAACTTTGCTTCCTCAAAGGGACCTTCATCTACGGTATGCTGGGATTCAACCAGTGCTCTTAGGAACATGCAGGATTTGACCCTACAGACAAAACTCATCTTTCTTTCCTTTATGTTCTTTTTGTTAACTTTGATTTTTCAACAGTGACTCATCTAGAGGATTCTGGGATTCAAACCAGTGCCCTTGGAGACATGCAGGATTTGCACCTATAGACAAAATACTTATTTCCTTTCCTTCCTTTCCTAACCTTTATGTATTTCTTCTTAATAACTTCGATTCTTAAACAGTAACTTTCATCCACAGCATTTGAGTTCATACCTTCTGAACATGCAGCACGGCACCTACTGGAATTAAAACTCTGTTTCTTATCAGCGTGATATGAGATTCTGCAGAATTGAGTGTCCTATTGAACAATGCTTTGCCTTTCAGTTCATTCTCTAAGTAAAGTGTGCAGATGCTTAGGATTTGAGCCTAACAACATCTGGCAGACTTACAGGTTTCATACTTAATGTTAAACTAAGTTTGTATTTTAGCTTTGACTCTAGAATCTGCAGGGCAGAATATCCTATCTAATAACCATTTGCCTTTCAGGCCCGATTCTCAGTAAGCGCACTTTGTGCTGCTCTTTTGGATTCAAACTTCCTGTTTATTTCAGTGTGACTCCAGGTTCTGCAGAACTAAATGTATCAACCAACAATGCTTTGCCTTTCAGGTTATTCTCCAAGGAAGATAACTGTATGCTGCCACTGGGAAATCAAACCAAGACCCGCTGGTAAAGTGACAAGTTTCTCTTAATCTTCATCTTTTCATTTAGATTGATTCAGACTCTACAGAATAGAATATGTCTTAACAGCCATTCTTTGCCTTTCAGTATGTTCTTAGTAAGCGCAGTTTGTACTGCTGCTTGGGATTTAAACTCCTAGTAGATGATCTTTTATTATTTTATTCCATATTACGTAGAATGCAGGACCACCAGAAATTCAGCACCAAGGACAGGGAGGACAATTTTCTGGGCTGTTTTCAAGAATGAATATTGCTGTAGGTGAATGCATTTTGCTTTTTATATGAGGATCTAATCCAGCTCTATAGGAACTGAAGATGTGAGGCCAACAGAGGAGTCTTTCCTTTTTAAATATGTTTCTGCTTCAGTCCTGCAGACTCCATGGAAAAAAACTAATTTTGGCCTTCTAGTTTTTGGTAGGTTTAGCAGAGCTTCTCTATTTCTTCCAGCAGTTCTCCAAAGAAGCATCAGCTGGCTAACTTTTCAACTTTTTTATTCCAGTTCTCACTCTTTCTTTTAAAGGCCACACTCCAAGCTGAGTTGTCGGCCTTTTTTATGTTGTTTGTTTGACTTTTTTCTCCTTTTCTTTGTTTCACGCCCACACTCAAATTTGAGTGGTTGGCTATCTTTGTCTTTGTAGCTAAGTAAATTTGCTGCAGAAAAAGTCTTGCTATACTGAAGGATGACAAGCAGCAGTGGTTCCTGACTACTGGAAGCAAAGCAGAAGCAGGGCCCCTGAGACTTCATGGTAAAGATTCGCTCAGTTCTATCCCTCTTTTGTTGTATCTATTCTTTCATCCTTCTCACATTCTCTACTTTCTTCCCCCTCCAATCCCTTCCTAGCCAACTTTTTCACATTCACTCTATTACAACAGTAAGTCCAGTATAATCTCTTTTTGTTATATGTCCTTATACATGTAAGACAATAGGTCATTTTAAGTATGTTTAGATCAAATATGCTTTTAAAAGAAAATGATGATTGAAATGTGCTTTCAGATGAGGTTTTGGTGACTACTGAGACTGATTCCATTGAGGTCACTGATCCTGGCTACTTTGAAGGAAGCAAGCACGGAGAAAAAGGAGACAACTAGTCAAATGGGATTTGTATGATATCATTCTATGCTGGTGGTATATGTTAAGTTAGGGTGGGGGGATCTGAGCCAAGCTCTACTTTGGCTTTGCTCACTAAATGTGTTAATTGTAGGGAACGTTTTGGAACATAAAGTGCCTTCTGACAAATGTATCTCAAATAACATAGAACAAAAGTAGTGGGCTTTTGGGATCACAAGTAAAGCTCTTTTAGCCAAACCATAGTTTCTTTCTTCACTGATGTCTTGGCTGCTTTCAGCTGCCTTCATCAGGGTTGGTGAAGAAATTGACTTTGGTTGTGTTGAAAGAACTTCACTTGTCTTTGGATAGAATTGCTAAGACTTAGTAGTAAGACACTGCTCCTGAGCTCACGGAGGATGACATCATGATCATTGATGGACCATAAGAGAAAGAGAGATATGAAATAGTTTAGGGTCTCAGGCACACAACTGTGTTAGATTTAAATTACAAGCAGCAATGATTTTCTTCTCACTCTTATCTCATAAGCGAGAAGGTGAGACATTGAAATTTGAATGGAACAGTGTTATGCCTGTTAATCAACCATCTTGTAAGGAGAAGATGGAACACTGAATGAGAAATGATTTTGACCATGTATTAAGAAATCAAAAAGATGGAACAGTTTTAGGACTTTTAATCACCATCATGTAAGAGGAATGATGAATGAAATGAGAATTTCTTTAGTCCGTCTTGTATGTGAAAAGGTGGACAAATAACTATTTCATCTGTCTTAGTACAAAGATGGATTTTATTTTCACCGTCTTGTAAGAGAAAAGGCCGACTTAGTAATGATCCTGCAGCCATTCCTAAAGATGCTCACCAGAGGAGACTACAACCACTAAGGACACCAGTGCACTCATTGAAAAAAGATTCAGAATAAAGATTTTTAATTAAGACTGAATATTTATTGTGATCAAAGGTTCTGAATAAGATAATTCTTCACCTGGTACAAACAATTTACGGAAATTAAGATTGAACAAACTTAAGTGCTTGAATTTGTTGATTAAAATTTAAAGGCAGTACTTTTACATGCCCTTGACCTGCTCTCTGAGTTCACATGCACTTTGAATTTAGATCAGAACCCGGAATGGTGAGTTTAAAACCAAAATTAGAGCAGGGACGTAGGTAGTAAAAGTGTGTGATGATTCAGAGAGCAGTTCTTAGTTCACAAATTTATGGGGGTGGGTAGATGGAAGTCAAGCACAAAACTTCTTTTTCAAAAATGTATAATATAAACACAAGGCACACCCCAAATTTTAACCTAGTCAACGATCTCAAGAGGACACCTGTTTTTATGTCAAGTCACTGTCAAGATGCCAGAGGTGAGCCATGTAATTAAGGACTGCATGCGTTACTAACATGTGCTTTCTCTCCTCATACTACTTAATAAAGGGGGGTCCTTTTACAAGCCTTCTAGTATCATCTAGGGTTAGGGCCATTCTTTGTGTTTTTTTTTATCCCATGATGGGAAGGGAACTGGGGTCCTTGCTACAATGGGAATTCTTTTTCTGTTTGATACTGTTCACACACTCTGTAAGCTGCACTTGCGACTGAAATAAAGAAATGGTGTCTGAATTCTGTGGTGTGAGCTTCTTCGCGATTAGTTAGAAGACTTCTTCGCGACTTTTGGAGACATTTTTGCATCAATTTTGACATTTGATACTTTTTACAAACTCTGTATGCTGCAGTTGAGCTTGAAATAAAGAATTTCAAATAAAGAAACAGTCTTTGAATTCTGTGGTGTGAATTACTTATGATAAGATAGAGCAACGACTTCGGAGATGTTTTCGTGCCAATTTTGAGGACGGACACAACTTTGGTGGAGTGACACAATGAAAGAATAGGTTTGTATCTTCCAGGTACGTATTCCTTTGCAACTTTTAAAACTTTTTCACTGAACCATTTCTAACTTTTGTCTATTTTCTTTTTTTTTTTTACAGGTCTTTCATTGGAAGATGCCAGTTTCCTGATTACCAACAAAGCAAGTAACTGGACCATGATGACAGAAATTGAACATACGTGAGAGACTTTGTTTTAAAGACATTGGTGTGAGCTAAAGATATTCAATGCAGGATAACAAATTCAGCACCAAGGGTAGGTGCAATAAACATATACCAGTACATTGTGTAAACTCAAAAATCAGTGCGTTGTACAAAGTACACAATTGCAGGTGACCCATATAGCTAGGAAAGCAACACATAAAAGTTTGTGTTATGAAAGATATAATGAAGATATAACGTTAATGTTTAAAATTTTACCTTGAAAAAGTGACACAAGAAACATTCCAGCTCAAAGGTGTCCCAAAATTTCTGCAGAAACGGAAGAATTCCTCTAAATCGTTGTCGGCTAGATTTCACAAACAGTTTGTTGACAAAATACACAGCTTTCGTAGGTGATATTTCAAAAGACTTTTTAGACTCTAAAAGAGAGTAGGAGTGTGCAGGCTGGTAGTGCTGCAGCTAGATGTTGTTCAGAAAAATCTCGCTAGGTGTCGCTCTTAATTTCCCACTAGTGCGCCTGCGCTCCAAAGAAATTTTTCCAGCGGGAAGGAAACTCTGCATAGGAAAACAGGTGATTTTGCGGAATATCCGTTTGGAAGAAGCTCTGACATCCGATCTTTTATTATCAAGCAGAAGCGGACACATACAGCTTTCTGTAGCGGGAAATATGCTGTGATTGCAGAACGCACAGTGCAGTTTAAGGTACGTGTAAGGTGGCGATATCGCTGAATCTGAGGGGGAGGGGGGCGAGAATTTTCCAGGTTTTTGTCGCTCGATCGTGGAGTTAAAATCATGTTTAGTGCATGCACGTGCGTGTACAGGGTTTGATTTTTTCTGTGTGAATACTGAACACTTGGTAAAAAGATTGTTGATGTCGGCAAAATGATACGATCGTGCGTAAAGCCGTTGTCATGGCAATCTAATGACAACAACGTCACGTCAGCTTCAAAATATTATAAATAATATTATTATAAAATTATAATAGAATTTTTGAGTTGCCAACCTATGTTACTGGCTGCACAGCACGTTCATTGCCACAAAAAAACTTTTAGATTTAAAAGGATCGTGAAAAACTACCAGTGTTAGCTGTGCAAGGGCCAAATTTCATCCAAAAATTTCATCCTTCAGACAAAAAAGCTAGAAAACTGCACTCCTCATAACATCACAAAATCCACATATTAAAGAAAAGGTGGGATCATAATTTTTCTTCCACTGTTCCAGAAAAATAAGTCCAACCCAAGAAGTTAGTATCAGCAGCCGCAATTATACTAACTAATCGCATAAAAATTTAAAACACTGCTACTAAGTATTCATCGTCTGTACCTTTTATTACCTTCGCCAAGAAGGTTATGTTTTCAGGGGCGTTCGTGTATGTGTGTGTGTGTGTGTGTGTGTGTGTGTCTGTGTCTGTCTGTCTGTCTGTCAACACGATAACTTGAGAAGGCCTTGATGGATTGTCTTGATACTTGGTAGGTGGGTAGGTCTTGATGAGACCTCAAAATGATTAGATTTTGGGCCCCCTAGCGGCTTGTTATGGTACTGCAGCTGAACTTCCGGTTTTGATATCTCGTGATCTAGACATGTTGGGGTGACGAAATTTGGATGGTAGGTAGCTCTTGTGCTGGGGAAGAAGTGACGTGAGTTTGGGCCCCCTAGCGGCTTGCTCTGCAACTGCAGGGATATATTCTTGAAAATATTCAAAAGGGGATAACTCAAGAACCGATTGACGGATCGTCGTGATTTTTGGTATGTAGGTAGCTTACGCGATGTTTAATATAATTATGTGACAATTATGCAAATATGGATGTAATTTGCATAATTTATGGGGAAATTCTATAAATCAGCTGCATTCCATGATAGGACAATTGAAGCTTGTGACATTGGTAATTGACAACGAGAGAAACACAGGAAGATATTGATTATGTTAATAATGACTTAATTTGCATAATTAATGAGAAAATTTTATAATTATGTAATGATAACTGCCTGGAATTTCATACTTGTGGTATTTGAAAGTTTAGTTGAGGTGAACATCATTAAATATAATTTATTCAAATCAGGACCTCATTTGCATAATTTATTAGGAAAT